GAGGGCTGAGGGTGGAGGACTGAAGATGGAGGACTGAGGTTGTAGAATTGAAGGTGGAGGACTGATGTTGTAGAACTGAAGGTGAAGGACTGAGGTTGTAGAACTGAAGGTGGAGGATTGAGGTTGTAGAACTAAAGAGAGAGGACTGATGTTGTAGATTTGAAGATGGAGGGCTGAGGGTGGAGGACTTAAGATGGAGAAATTGTAGCAGCGTAAGCAGCAGTAGTAGCATTAGAGGCAGTAGCAGCAGTAGTAGCATCATCATCATCCATCCATTATCTTTCGCTTATTCCGAAGTCGGGTCGCGGGAGTATCAGTTTGAGCAGGGAGACCCAGACATCTCTTTCCACAGCCACCTCTTCCAGCTCTTCTGGAAGGATTCCAAGGCATTCCCAGGCCAACCAAGAGACATAGTCTCTCCAGTGTGTCCTGGATCTTCCTCGGGGTCTCCTCCCAGTTGGACATGCCCGAAGCACCTCCCTAGGGAGGCGCCCAGGGGGCATCCTTACCAGATGCCCGAATCGCTTCAACTGGCTCCTCTCGACGTGGAGGAGTAGCGGTTCTACTCTGAGTCTCTCCCGGATAACTGAGCTTCTCACCCTATCTCTAAGGGAGAGTCCAGCTACCCTGCAGAGGAAATTAATTTCAACTGCCAGTATCCGAAATCTTGTTCTTTTGATCACTACCCAGAGCTCATGACCATAGGTGAGGGTAGGAAAATAGACTGACTGGTAAATAGAGAGCTTTGCCTTACAGCTCAGCTCTCTCTTCACCACAATGGACCGGGAAAGAGTCCGCAATACTGCCAATGCTGCACCAATCCACCTGTCAAGCTCATGCTTCATTCTTCCCTCACTCATGAACAAAACCCTGAGATACTTGAACTCCTCCGCTTGAGGCAGAACCTCACCCTCGACCTGAAGAGAGCAATCCACCCTTTTCTGGTTGAGGACTGTGGCCTCAGATTTGGAGGTGCTGATTATCATCCCAGCCGCTTCACACTTGGCTGCGAACCACCAGAGCCGAAGATCACGGCACAATGATGCCAACAGGACCACATCAGCTGCAAAGAGCAGAGATGGAATCCTGAGGCCATTGAACCGGAAACCCTCCGCCAGCTGGCTGCACCGAGAAATTATGACCATAAAAATTATGAACAGAATCGGTGACAATGGGCAGTCCTAGCAGAGTCCAACTCATACCCTGAAGTGGTCTGACTTACTATCGGCAATGCGAACCAAACTCTCACACCACTTGTATAGGGGCTGAACAGCCCGTAACAATGGACCTCCAATCCCATACTCACGGAGCACCCCACACAGTGTACCCCGAGGAACACGGTCAAAAGCCTTCTCCAAGTCCACAAAACACATGGAGATTGGATGGGCAAACCTATGAAACCTTGAGGATGCTAGTGAGGGTAAAGAGCTGATCCAGTT